TATAATAATAAACAGTTTTAAATAATAATAAGAGGAAGTATTATCATTGTGATAATGGGATGAACCAAAAATAATTTGGTTTTAACAATATATACTTATTAATTCAGATAAATTGAATCTAACATCTATTCATAATCGATTTGTAATTTAAAGATATCATGTTTCTTATTTCTGCTCCAGGATTTATATTCTAATGTATTTAATTTTTCAATGCTCATTTGCTATCTGTATTCATAGATCTATCTAAGTAAATCCTAATAAATTAAATTATCGCTAAGTAAAATGAAATCGCTGAAGCAGTATACAACCTTGTTATAGTTAGTATATCACTTATTGTTAAAAATTGCATATTAAAATAAATAAGTTCAAAAATCTAATAATAATGAGGCATATCTCATGTCCATCGTCATGATGGTATATTTTATAAATTTATGAATAGAATCCATAAACCCATTATTATTATTAAGGTTCTTATTCTAATTACAGTATTTATTAAATAAAGAATAAACTAACACAATTCTGAATATCGTTAATTTCAACGAGGGCCAAAAAAAAAGTATAGTATTAATAATAGTATAATCTTTAACTGGAATTGCTGGGACTTAATGCTTAAATTTATAATACTTTATATCTAAATGAAATTAATAATTCTTTAGGATTAATATGATTTAATATATGACAATATCACTGATTACAAAATCGCCATTAATTTTGAATGGATAAATAAGTCTGCCTTTAATAGTTTAATCAATTGAATTATATTTGAATGATGGCTTGTATAATTTTTATGAAAATTCAATTCTTTAAATTTATTCAAATATTAATACTGTGAAAACAAAGATAATTTTAAATCAAATCTAAAATCTTTGAAATGAGAACTATAAATAAATAATTCAAATTGAAAGTGTTTAACGTCAATATAGTTCTTTTATTGATGCTTGCCTCATTAAGTTGTGTTTAAAGCTAATGTATTGAAATTACAGATCAAAAATAATGTAATCAAGATTAAAGATGTGAATGGAATTATTGGGAACCTTCCAAATGCCAAAACATGTGCAGTCAATTGATCAATTAAACTGCATGCAACTAAGTAGCAAACTGTAAATGGAAAGCCAGCTCATCCTCTTGTTTGAATAAAAAAATGCACAGAAGAATTATAAATGGATGGTTGTCATCAAATTGTATTTACTGCACTAAATTAGGTGGCTTGCACTTGGAAGAAGTAAAAATGTTGGGACTCATCATGCGTTGAATTATAAGCATGCAAAACTGGTAAATGTGCCAATACATATTGTATTGGGATGAAAAACGAAAACTTTGCTATGATAAAAATTGCTCAGACTATTCTAATTAATATGATTGTAACCAAATATCATTTTGTAGTTGGTTAAAATACAAATGCATAGATAATGGCAATCAAAAGCTTAGTTATAGTGATGAAGAGCAAGATTAATAATAATGAAATTTAATTATCGTTATAAAGAAATTAAATAAATTTTATTCCTATTACGTTAAATCTATATATCAATCTAAAATATCAAAATCTTAACTGATAATTATTACTAGTTTATAATAGTATTTCTATCTATAATTAATTCAACTCTTGAGATTCAGTTAATATTAGGCGGAGAGGATTAGTCAGATAAGACATCATTTTGTAAGATTCTAGATGGATATTATAATGTAAATATGACTCTACTTTAAATAAATTTATTTTATTATACAAAACCAGACCCATTCAAGGATTTTGCAAACATAGAAATTTTGATTTTTCAAATCATAAAATAGTTTTAGGAGAATTGTTGATTAGGAATAATGGATCTCAAATCAAATATTGAATATCAAGATATTTAAAATAACATATAATGATAGTAAATTGCACCCAAATATCTTTATTATAAAATAGGCGCACCAAGTGATTTGTGCACGATAACAATTGTCCAAACTATATCTTAATTAAGAATTCTTTCACCATTTATATTTAATTCTCTGTATCATTAATAAAAGGTCTAATAATTATTCTTAGGAATGTTTTACACATTTAAGCGAAGAAAAATGTTCTTAATTAATTAGTGATTAATTTTGTAATTAATGGTATATAATTAACTAATACATTCATTTTTTAATTAGGAAACTTATGTATTAATGCAACGGGTATTGCTAATATTGGTTTGGTATAAATAATGAAAATTCTCTCATGTATGAAGCATTCAAGAAAACTATTTTCAAAATAGAATGGATATTAAACAAATGAATTGAATGGCTTTAGAAATGTGAAGAATCAGTACTTATATGTTATTCAATAAGGATGTTTTTGGTAATAGTTAAAAACAAATAGTGAAATAATGGTAATAACAATGACTTTGATTGATATCAAATTTATGTTATGATTCAAATTTAAACACTTTTCATATCTGTAATAATTGTAAATAAGGATTCTTTAAATTTGATAAAGGCTTTCAATGAGATTAATTAACTAGATAATGCTTTTAAATTTTAGTGATCATTTTAATTTAGAAAATATTTAAACATCATCATATCAATTGCTAATAAAAATATCATTCACAAATGTACACTATGTAAGTTTTAGGCAGAGCAACTGTAAAGATTGATAAATTATTTGGACTGAGGTATAAATTAATAAAGAAGCCAATTTTGATTGCTACAATAATAATAATAATTTTCTTAGAGAGTGTTTGGTTTATGGTATTTGTCTAATTTGAAGAGTGTATTAATTTTGATAGATTTTACACCTTTAGATTTTAATTATCTTCTGCAATCCAAATAAAGACTAGAAAGGTAAGATTATATGTTGGGGCATTAAATAGAAGGAGAGTTCTCACAAGCATGATGAAAACTTTTGAAAAAACAAACGTCGTTATCTAATTAGTTAAGTAAAGAAGGATGTATTATGATCATCTCAATCAGCTTGATATTTAAAAAACTCTGAAAATTTGTGATGAAAACTTTGGAATCAACTATCCAAATACAAGCTTAAACACTATTAGGCCTTGTTCTTAGCTGTCTAAATATTTCTTGCTAAGGACTAGTCTAGAGTTAGATTTCTCCCTCGAAAAATCCATTATAAATTTATGCTACTAGTTATGAAGTTGTTTAAAACAGATGAGGCTAGAAGGTATTACTGATGAAAAGCGGGAAAAGAATGTAGAGAAGAAGCAACTAATTTATGATAATAATTTAATTAATTTTCTCAAAAAGCCTAAATCAACTTTATAACAAGTAATTAAATTAGAAAATTTATTCCATCTCATTAAATATCTAAAATTCTTTAAATAAGTTTAATATTTGAATTAAAATAAAGAATTAATGAGTTTAGGAAATTATTATTAAAAAGCAGAAATTTAAGAAAATGTGAAAGTCTATATTAAAAATAAAGTTTGTTAAAGCCAAATTCTTCACATGGCTAAATTCTAATAATACATTATAAAAATAACGCCTTTCATTATTCTTATTGATTAATGACTTTTAATTTCAATCAAATAACCAAATAAACCCTAATCAAAATTAAAAAAGCATTATTAAATTCTATTAGTGAAATTTTATGATATCATATAAACCCATTAATTATTACAACTAAATTAGAATCTCGAAAGACACATGAGATTTATTTTGATTGATGAAGTTTATATATTAATAGTTTATCGCTTCATAAGCACAATAGACCAGGTAATATACGAAATCTACTCAGGATAATCTCTATTTATTACTAATTTCAAAATAATTTAAGAAAGTATGATAAAAGTGATAATATCCTGCCTACTAAAAAGAAGACAACTTGGGCAATATAGGAAAATAATTAAATTATGGCCCTCAGCTGTGTAAATTAAATACATAAAACAAGTAGCTAAATATTTACAATTGTCTCTAACAACTCTAAATGATGGATTCAAATTGAGTTTACAAATTTATGGAATTAATCCTACATCTTCAAAATTTCCTCATCATTTTGGGTTTTATTTATTGAGCTCAAAAAATATAACCATTCCTCTAAAAAAAGCAATTAACTTGACCACTTTAAGCAAAATCTCTTACTAAGGGTATACTACTTCTACATTTGGTACCATGTATCAATTCAACCTAATTTCTAAAGTTATACATTGCCAATTCCTACAACGCTTGGATTCTACCCTCATCCTCTTCGTTAGTCTATATCCAAGCATTCCTTTTTAATGCCCATAAATCATCAGATCATTCATTTTCATGCCCTTTATTGTTCATATCCCAATAAACTATCCATTTAACAAAAAGAGGAATTCCCAATAATCCCACATCCATCTCCTTCAAAAGTAATTACCATGTCTTCATTTTAACCCTCCTAGTTCTAACTCTACATTTCCTCTCCTGTTTATAATCTTTCTATGTATTCAGCAAGCCTTCTTATTTCTTTAAGCATTGTACTCTCTCTCTTTCCTAATAGTCATCATTCCTGCCTTAGTTAGCTTTCCTCTGGATAACCTTCGAATCTCATAATAGTATTTCAGTAAAGATTAATTATATGTCGTTAAAATGGGACATGGATTTGTAGATTTAAAAATATCTAGATTTTGAATATGTAATAGAAGCCCTATTTTACACTCTACAATGGCACCTAACCTCACCCTAACCTGATAGTGTAATTCTATAACTCATCTTTGGTCTCCACTTTACATATCAATTCTTCTTATTGGGATTATTGGATTTCCTCTAATATTCCTCCTAAGAATTCTTTCACCGTTTTTTATCTATGCCTTTAACCTTCCACCCTATTTTTCTAACACATGAGTTGCCGATTGGTTTGGAGAATATAGTTCTTATTATTTTCAGAAATTGATATTGAGCTTTCCTTCTCCCCATCCTAAATTCTACCTTATTCATTCCTTATTACCCCTTGTGTTTTTTCAATATATTTCTTTCTATTATTCTATTTATCTCTAACCTAATCCTCATCTTTATATCCTTTTTAAGGACTCCAATTTAGTTCATATTCATTAATATTTTGTGTAAAAGGCACTCATCAAAAATCATTAAAAGATGGATGAAGCCATCATCCTTTAGGCCATGGGCATTATAATTTTTGTCCTTTAATTTAAAATCCAATACTTTGATTCCAAATTAAGGGGAAAGGGGTACTTTTTATTTTTTCTGACGTCTTGAACAGAGCTTAAAGGATTAAGAAACTTGAAGCATCCTACCTCAATAATTAGTTTCTTAGCTTTAAAATAGTTTGCGAAACTAAATCAATGATCATTTAGTAAATAATAAAAGAATTTAGACTGCTCATCATATTTATTTTTCAAGGTACTCTACATTATTTTC